AAAGCGGGACATTTTTAAAAATCGGCGGGACGCAGTATAGTCCACCAAAAAGCGGGACAGTCCCGCCAAAATCAAGACGTGTAGTCACTTTAATCTTGACAAACTTTTGAATTATAGAATTAGAAGTAATGCATGCAAATTAATAAAGAGTTATCTTCGAAATAACGTGTTGAGCTTTTTATGATATGATTTCACTGTTACACAAGTTAATACAGGTGATGTTCCCTAAAGTTCCATATTTGGTCCATTATATTTTATATTTATTATTTTGTATATTATAAATGACTTGTTAATAAGTATCATATGCAGATAACAGCATATATATTCGCAGAAAATTCTTGGCCATTGGTGGAAGTCATTAACAACTACAGATAAGCTATTGTAAATCTACATTAAATATGTGTTTATCACCTTGGTGATGGTAAATAACTAAATATTTGGGCATTGTTTCGGATTTTAGATTGAGATACTTTAATGAAACCCTTAGAATAGTACATTATGCCCTACTTCCATGATAACCTATAGGTATGATTGCCTGGGAGGTGTTTGTTCACCTTGAAAAAAACTTTTTTGGATCATAAGTTACTTTCTTTTAATGCACTTATTAAACTTTTTAAATTAATCATGTTTGGCTATTTTATTATAGTAAATAGTAAGTACATTTATAGTGTTTTCTTTTGTAAATAGGTAACAGAGAATTTATTCAAGAAATAATCATGGTTTAATTTAAATAATATTGGTTTAAATACTGCATATGTATGTATGTATGAACCTTTAATCTATGATACATAAAAATTATAAATTGTTACATTAATTTAGATAAATAATGCTTATCGAATTTTAAATAAAAACATCACATATTTAATAATTAAACAAATATTTGATTATTATTATATTATGAGTAGTTTAATGCTTAATTAGAAAACAAAAGAAACGTTTCAAGCTTTAAAGGTACGTTGTACGTTATTGAGATACTTTCATTCTTTGATCATTTTCGTTTAGTGATAAGTCAATATATTATCTATGGTCAATATATATTATCTGTGGTGATAAGTTGTTATTGTATATTCTGTAGATATTATAATGATAAATAGACGAAAACAGAAAGAATTTGAGAACGTGAGCTATTCACGGTTGCTTCAAAATGATGCCAATTTTACGGATGCACAATTTGCAAAACCAGCGCAGAAGATCCCTTGGAAAGCCATATCCTTAGCAGCAGTGTTATTTGTATCAGGCTTGTTACTTTTGGTGATAGGAAGTTTAATTATAAGTGGATACATAGATGCAAAGTATTCAGATCGAATGTGGCCCATGATCATTTTAGGAATTCTAATGTTCATACCAGGGGCGTATCACATGCAAATTGCCTATTACGCATTTAAAAAAGTGCCTGGATACAGTTTTAATGACATACCTGAATTTGAATAACGAATAGTACTGTGAAAAAAATGAATTGTTAACAAGTCGAGATTTTTCGTTAATTTATGTATGTATTGCAATATTCATAGAATATTAAACAATGTTGAACGTTGTATTTGTATGTGTACCATAAATGTGACTATAGAGAAATAAAAAAATTGGAAAACAACAAGAAAACAAGTTGCAAAGAAATGAACGTAAGTTCACAATTTTGTTGAATTTAATACTTATTTATATTAGTACAACATATTCGGAATAATTTCAAATAAAAGATTTACCCCTACATATGCACCACAAACTTTTTTAAAGATGAGCACGTGTTTCGCTCATAGTCAGTTTTATTGCAGCCATTATTAATCGAAACACGTGTCCGTTTTATTCATTATATTCTACATATCACACTTTTCTTTACTACTCCTTGTATTTTCAAGCACATGTTCAGAAACCTACAATAAATAAAATTTTCACCTACAGATCGTAATTGTGAGATTATTCATTAGTTGATAATCATTTTCATTGGTTAAGTTGAACTTTGTTTTGTATTATTGTATACAAACATGTATTTAACAGTATAATTATACGATTAGGTAAATGAGGTCACAAGAAAATGTTTTTGGTAAATAGGTACGTCTAAATAATAACACTGGTGAAACAGACATCATTATTTATGAAATTTTATCTAAATTAAATAAAAACATTTCTCAACTAAAACATTTACAAACGTTATGCCCCCAAGCCATATGTCATCGCGTGTGGCGGAAATCTCGGCAGATTTTTTATCATAAAAGGTCAATTAGTCGCATTACTTGACCAGCAGTAGATATTTTTTTATTTGTTGTGTTTCATGATCATTAAAAAATATTAGTATCCCATTTCTTGTGAATAAAAATACTTGAAAGGTGTAGGTTAGCGAAAATAAGCAACTGGTCTGTTAATTTCCTTTGAAAAAAAAAATTGGCTGACGTCAACAGTAATGTGCATGCGTTGGGCCTGCTGAGTACATGTACATAGCATGTACACAGCATAAGGAGATCAGGGATCAGGAAATCAGGATAGTAGGCGCATGAACCCAGTTATGAATGAATAAAACCCAGTAAAATGTTTTTTTAAAAGTATTTAAATACAAAATGCAAATACTTTTTTATTTGTTATTTCAAATGTAAAATACAAAATATATTTCCCTTTTGTATTTCAAATGCTAAGTGCTATAATAGGTACATATTTTCAAAATACTTTTTTTCAAATAAATTGGAATTTTTTAGACTAGTAGTAGTGTTTGCACTATATCACCAGCTGCAAATATTAACTATTATTCATATTTTTCTGTTTGAAATGATTGAGATATTGTTTTTGTTATCTTTATGTTATAGTTTCTTCAGTTCAGCAATAAATAATTTTCCTATTTGCTTCCTTATTTAGCTTTGTCATCCGTTTTAATTGAAAAAGAGACGTATGCCAAAATTGTTTGTTTACCCTGAAAGATCAGAGCCAAGATAGGGTTGCAAATAACTTCATTGATTAAAATCAACATCAATCATTTTATATCAGTATATTTACAACCCTATTCTGTTTCTGATCTTTTACATATTGTAAGAAGAAATGGAATCCATAGTTTCTTTAGCTTTGGGTTCATCTAATAAATGATGTTTTTCGAATCGTTTTCTAATAATTTTGGATTATATTTATGCATTTATTAGCACACCACAATATCTTGTAGTTTTCAGTTTTACACAGCTGGCGAATATCAATATCAATTCGATATTCTTTTGCGGTGTGTTTTGTAGTAATTCATACAATTTCGTACTTTCTTGCTAAAGGTACGATAAACAGTGATTTGGCAGGCTCTGATATCACATTTGGAATTTCAAAATTCCATGGACCAAGACATTGAAACCGGAAAACAATATCGATCCAATATTGTAGATTATCCGTTTCCAAGGAATTTAGAATTTTTGGGCTTTCTTCAGTTAAAGAATTAGAAGGCATTCATGGAATGTCTCTTTGTCCCCTTTTTAAGCTTCTAATACCTTCAAAGGTCAATGCGAGCAACTTTCATTCATCATTTTGTATAATGTTTTTTCGGCGATACTAGCAAAAGTTTTAACGGCAAAAATGTATTTTGCATTTTACAAATAGAAAATAGATTTGGAAAAGTATTTCAAACGAAATACAAAATGCTTTGTTATTTGCATACAAGNGTATTTTAAATAAAATACAAAATGCTTTTTTCAAAAGGGTATTCAAATGCAAGATGGGTATTTTTTATTTTATATTATCAGTTTAAATGCAAACAAATTTTGGATTATAGGCATTTATTAGCACATTACAATATCGTACAGTTTTCAGTTTTACACAGTTGGCGTATATCAAATCGATTTTGTTTTGCAGGCTGTATTGTAATTCATATAATTTCGTAGTTTTTTGCTAAAGGTACCTATGATAAGTAGTGATTTGGCAGGTGCTGATATCAATTTGAACTTCAAAATTTCATGGACCATGACGTTGAACCCGGAAAACAATATAGATCCGATATTATAGATTATCCATTTCCATGGAATTTAGAATTTTGTGGGCTGTCTTTATTTAAAGAATTAAAAGAGTTTTACTACTATAGTGAACCATACGGCCAACTTCCCTGTATAAAGTAATAAATAAATATCTTACAAGAAATCCTCAAATTTACTTTTTTCGATCTTCTTGTTTAAACAGAAAAACGAATGTTATGAATTTTTCTTCAAATCATATTGTTATTATTACTCATGCTTCTCCAAATTATAATGATAATGTTAGCGTCAAGTTATAAAATATCTTGTAAACTACGACTTTGATTTTTTATCTGTATGACTGGGGAGTTAATAAATTTCAGCAGTAGTGTATGCAAAAGGAATTTTGCAGCCTTTTCAATATGATAGAAGATGTGTAAATTACAACAAAATAATGAATTTCAATTTAACAGATGTTGATTTACAACTAGTTAGGAACAAACACGTACATTTGGAAAGGTCTTACATAACTATTTGATTTGCATACGTACATATACAATTGAGAATAGAATGAGAATTTTGAGAATCCATCCCAGGTTTTAATAGGAACTGTAAAAATTTCAGTTCTTTAAATAGTGTTATATATACCCTCACTATTCTGATGTTCACTATTTTTATTGTAGGTAGATCCAAAAGTTTTATTCTCATAATAAGTAATAATACTTCTGCAAAGTTTTAATGTTTTAATAACTCAGGATTCTGCATCGTTTTGCTGATAACATTTATGAAAGTAGTAATGCTAAATTAAGTAGAATATAGAATGTTTGTGCTATGTTGGGAGCTTGGATTATAACGTTAAAGTTTGACCATTCTACTTCTAATTTCTGCTGTATTGGCTACGAAAAAATGCCGTTTGTACTGTGAAATACAATTAGTTACAAATTTTGGTATTTTTGTGCAGAAAGAATTTAATTTCTTCGTGCATGGTACACATGATTAAACACTAATATTATGACCTTTACTCCAAATAACGGACATTTTTACCGCCCGTGGTCACGGCACCCTATACCTCGTTAATTCGAAACTCGAGGGATTCTTAAAATATTACGAATTATGGAGTGTTTGAAATATCAACTGGTTCGAAATTTTTGAGAGAAAATAAATAAAATTAAACAAACCAATTCATGCGGAAATATATGTCAAACTAATTATAACAAAAACAAAACCACGATGATATATGTTTGGAATTGCCTCAAAATGTATGTATGTACTTACAATCTTTGTGTCTCTTTCTCTCTGCAACTTTGAATTGTCGAGTGTTTGACGCCCATTAGCTCGAATTAACGCGTCGTTTTGTTATGTAACAATGATTTTTTCGTTCGAATTACCAAGTGCATAAAAATGTATTGATTTAGTTCGAAATATAAAGAGATTTTGTAGGGAACTCGTGATAATTTCGAATTATAGAAAGGTTCGAATTATTGCAGGTTTGAACTAACGAGAGTCGACTGTATCTCTTATCTACGCTCAAATCAATTTCTTTTTATTCTAAGTCTTGAGCAATAACATCCAAAAAAAGAAATACAGTATGTATTGTAACTACTCTTTAATAATTTGGCTTTTATCCAAACACGTTAAAGATTTCTCATTGCATTCCTACACAAATGCTATTATTTTTTTATTATACGTTTAATTCCATCCTTCTCAAATGTAATAAAAGATGGTACAATTATAACAGAAAATATTCTTTTTATTGTTGTTCTAGATACCAAATTTGGCAAATGTACATTTTGTGTTTAATGATAAAATTATTTAATAAATAATCAAAGTTAACAACGAAATGAAAATACACGCACCTATACCATCGTATAATAACATTCACATAAAATAATAAATAAGAAAAACAACTACATAGGTATTAAATTTGCTACATGCACAACTTAAGTAAATCGAATCATCTTTTGCTGATCCTTAATCCACTGGGGAGCGGAAATTTTTGAAGTTGGACTGTTTCCATACGGCACAGTCTTCGATACCTTTAACATTTTGTCGTTGGAGCAATTCTTCGCTCTCCAATAAACAGTTTGAGAAGCGTTTCTCCCAGCTAGGTATCGCGTAGCAGCTCCAACCAAAACTTTCTTATCCATTTCGAAAATTCAAACCTTCAAGTAAAACAACTAACAACTTTCGAAAATGATAAAGGCACTTATGAAATGGTTTACCTATTTACTACACCACTTCACTCACTATACTCTCAGCGATTTAATAAATGCCATTTCGTAGTGCACTCATTTATACTAATTGTAAATTCGTGTTTTTTTCCATTTATCAATTCTGACGTATATATTCATGTTTGGGTCACATGTGTCAGAATAGGAAATCATTAACAACGCAATATTTAACAAAAGTTACCATATTTGCCCTCCAAGAGCTTTTTATCGTTATTTCGTAAAAAAAGTGACCTCATGCATGATCTAAAAATTTCCCGATACAAACAAATATCCTCATTATAACAATATTACTTTGCGTAATAATCCTTATCTGATGAATGTATGTTATACTTATTAACATTATTATGAACATATGAAGCATGTGTTGTATGATTATAGTTTAAATAAATAAATAAATAGTAATATTTTCGTCTGACATTATTACTGAAATCGAATAGAAATTGTCTGTATAAATTTAATGAATATTATATGCGGTTGAAAAGTTATTATAACAGAATGTTTTTTTTTAATGCTTTAAAAATCATCATCATAAGGTCGTCAGTCGTAGTCGAAAGATGAAATGTTACAGGGATTATAGGAAAGTACAGTAATAGAGTTATTTAAATAGATAAGAAAGATACAATAGATTATTTACAAAAGGTAGGTATTTTTATAGACCCTAATCGAAAATAGAAACGAAATATTTTAGTAAGGTATTTACAATATGTACACAAAATGAAAACAATTTTATAACATGTGGTGGATATCGCCACAATTTATTTTTAAAGTCATATTTTTCGCATGAGTGGCATTTTTTTACTAGGTCTGGGTTTTGGTTCAGAAAGTTCAAAAAGTTTTCACAGGTGCCCATTTTAAATTTTACAATTAGCATTGCACGTAATGTTTCTACTTTTAATGACGACTTTTCGGATGTCCATAAACTATTCATTAAGGAAAATACTCGTTCTGTAGGAGCGTTTGTTCCTGGCAATTCTGGAATGGTATTCCGCTGTCTTTGAAATTTTTGAACATCTCTATCCATCGTTGTTCTGTACTGCTCTTCATCTCCTCCCATCTCTTTAGGACATCGTTATTCACATAATTTGCCACGTAACTTACTTCGTCGAACAAACTATCTTCTTTTAAACTCATAGCAGCTGTAGGCATCTGCACAAATAACTTTTGGAAACGAGGAATGCGTGATATACGGGACGCCTTAGACGATTTGCGGGACTATTTTATTAAATATTGCAATGCGGGATTTCAATTGTCATTACGGAACGGTTCCGCAGAATGCGGGACGGTTGACCGCCTTAAGACTGGTTGGACATCACGTACCTCGACTCTTTCCTATCCTGAGAGTTAATCTTCGCATTTCCCTAAAACTACAACAACCCAAATGCTTAAGTATTTGCGAACAGTAATCTAATCTAGGTCTCACTCCTTTCCTAATATTTACCTATCTACGTTGCAGCCCCAGCTCTATAACTGCCTGTTGCCCTTTATATAAACTAAGTATCACTCTTCTATCCCTCTAAGTCATCCCTACATTTTTAAGTATATTTAACATCTTGTCCCATTTAACATTGTCAAAAGCTTTTTCTAAATCTACAAATCCTATGTACGCTCTCTTTCCTTTTTGTTTTTCTTTCCTATCTTGTCTCTATTGTTACTCGTAAAGCTAGAATAACTTCCCGCCTTCCTCTATTTCTTCTAAATTCAAATTGATCTTCCCCTAATAGTTCTTCCGCCCTTTCTTCCATCCCCCTCTGTACAATTCTAGTTAAGATTTTTGACGCATGGGAAGTTAAGCTGATTGTTCGAAATGTCTCGCACCTATCCGCGCCCCTCTTTTTAGTTAATGTTACTACTACGTTCCGTTTACAATCATCTGGGACTTTCCCCGTTTCGTAAATGTGACTAACTAGCTTAAACATACGATCTCTAACCTCTTGTATTGCATGTTTTAGAATTTCCCCCTGTATCCCATCTATACCTGGCGCCTTATTATTTCTTAAGTTTTTTAATGCTACATCAAACTCTTCTTTCATTATGGGATAACGTAGCTCACGTATCTCCACACTATCATCCTTCCCTAAATTCTCCTAACTCATTGCCTGCGTATAAGTTCTCGAAATATTCTTTCGACCTAGCTGCCTTTTCCTCATTTTCTATCAAAATGACCCCTGCCTCGTTTCTTATATTATTACTACTCTACCCTACATCTCTATTTCCTTTTAATTATGTTATAAGCCTCATCGGTTTTACCTACTTCAAACTTTTCTTTTACTTCTTTACACCTCATATCAATCCACTGTTCCTTAGTTGTCTGTATATTGTTGCCTTATATCTTTTTTGCCCTTCTTCGTCTATCTGTTTTTTTTGTATTTCCGCCTATCTTCTGTTAATCCTACAATCTCGTTTCTTATCCAGGGTTTCTTACTTTCGTTCTGTTTGAGACTTAGTATATTTGTAGCTGCTGACTTTAGGCACGTTTTAATGTAGTTCCATTCTGTCTGTATGTCTCTGTCAATCGTTTCTCCCGCATCCTTTAGTATTTCGTCTGTCTTTGTACCTAGCATGGGAAGTTAAGCTAATTGTTTTAAATGTCTCGCACCTATCTGCGCATCTCATTTTAGGTATGGTTACTACCACGTGCCGTTTATAATCCTTTGGGACTTTCCCCGTCTCGTAAATGTGACTAACTAGCTTAAACATCCCATCTATACCTGGCGTCTTATTATTCCTTAGGTTTTTTAATGCTACATCAAACTCTTCTTTCATTATGGGATAACGTAGCTCACCTATCTCCACACTATCATCCTTCTCTAATATATCTCCTAACTCATTGCCTGCGTATAAGTTCTCGAAATATTCTTTCCACCTAGCTGCCTTTTCCTCATTTTCTGACCCCTGTCTCGTTTCTTATGTTATAACTACTCTACCCTATATCTCTAAAATTCCTTTTCATTGTATTATAAGCCTTAGCGGTTTTACCTACTTCAAATTTTTCTTTTATTTCTTTACATCTCATATCAAAATATATCATAAAAATGTAGTTAGTATGGTTAATATTAATTGATAAACTTAAAAATAACCAGAACAATATTTTCCGACGGTCTCAAACTATTTATTATCGACATCTTGTGTCAGGAAGCTGCAACATACTTTAAACGGTTTTGTTTCACGTGAAAACAATAGAGTACAATCAGTGCAATAGAGCTTGAGCTTATCTCATAACCTCTAAATAACCTGGTACTATGTTTAAATCTTCTCATATTCGTTTTTTATAGTATAACAAGCATTTATGGTTAAAAATTACAAATGCACGAACAGCAGCTTTTACTATGCGGCCAACTGTAAGTGTAGTTAATTTGTATACAATTAATTTGAAACTACAAAATATTTTTTGTTGCAGCAAAAGAAAAAGGATAAAACCAGACCTAGGGTGAATAGTGGTTGTGTTGCAAGTAATACAAGATCAAAAACCAATAAAACTAATATAGGTGCAGTGAATGTTAAAAATAACCGTAAAAAAAGTAAGAAGAAGCTGCAAAAGAAAAAAACATGTGTAAGAAAGTGTGTACAAGATACAAATCATATTGATAGAAATGGTACACAAAATATAGAAACCAAAAGTGATTTATTGGTTGTAGAAGATGCTTGTGCTACGAAGAAAGGTAAGTTATTTATTATACTGTAATAATGTATGCTTTTGGTATGACCAAATATTAAACTTGTCATCTATCTTCAAACCACAGTTATTGGAATTGTTTTTAACAGTATGCCAAATTCCTAATCATGTTGGACTTTATGCATAATAAAAGTCATATATATATATCATTTAATTTATTCACTTGAATTGTCTTTGCAAAATCATTAATTTAGTATTGTGATTTTTTTTGGGGAAAGGGAAACAAACACATTTGCCGAAATTATTTTCGAACTAGATGCAAATGTATATACCTATGTTTCAAACAAATTAGTCACTGTTATTGAATAATGTTTGTAATAGGAAAATGAGGAGAAATTGCATTTTTTTAAGTACCTATTATAACAAGTGAAACTACATATGTATACATTTATACAATATACTTAAATAAAACATTTATTTATGTCTTATGCAGAATATTGCGCTATTTTTAAAGTATGCTTAGGAATGAGAATATAATTAATTATTGCCATTTGTGATATTTATTTATTGTATACTATTGTTTTTTCAAATATTGGTAGTTTGGTTTTGCAATGTAGTGACTACCCATTACTAGATGGCGCTAAAAGTACGAAGAGTACCGCAATCGTTTGATCCGCCGAATGCCGACTTGTTTACTCCAATTTCCAAATTGACAGAAGATGGACATTTGATTAGTGTATGGATTAGTCAAAGAAATTTGGAAAAACAATACAAAATAGTCTCAGGGCGGTAATTTATTTCACAAAGACGTCATATTACGCTTATATATATACCCATACATTATTTACATGGCGCCGGTTTGGGCTATTGCGCTACTCTATTTTAAAATTTAATTCACAATTCACATTACAAGCGTGCAATATTATTTTATACGAAAAAAAGTTACTCTTTATAAAAAGTCCTGCATGGTGTAAAACAGAATGACTTGATCAGACTTAATAATTTGTCAGTCATATACAAATTTTGACATAAAATATGAAATTTGTGTAACAGTAAAGTACCTTTATTTTTAAAAATAATAAAAATCTTTATAAAGAAAAGTCGAGCCCTGCACCTACGTTTCATAAAAATTAATCGAATAAAATGAGACGATCGACAACATGCTTTTCTTGTCATTTGTACCTACATGCAAGACTTTTTATAAAGAGTAACTTTTTTTCGTAAGATTAATATACTAAAAAGGTTTCCCATGTGCTGCCAATTTAGGTAAACACACTGTGTACATATATATATTTATATGTTTATTGTACGTATGATACAGTTCGTGTCAAGCGCGTTGCAGTTCGTTTGCGTATTGTACTTTCCTCACCATTACAGAACTCCAGTCAAATGACGCCGTCTGACTGGTTACGGTTTATTCGCGTTATTTAAAATACATATTGATTGATATCATTTGATTTTTTTCAATAGACTATTACTTTATTCATTTTATTGCTTAGTAATACTGACTAGTCTACACCTCTCTGATTATCTTGAAATATGTATATGTACATATAAATCTTGTAAGATTAGGTTTATATGAGTGTTAAGAAAATGTTTGGATAACCCTCTTACCCTTCCCCTCTTATTCTTGACCTTACATGAAGTATTTGCGGAATGACTATCGATTTCGATCGATATTTTGTGTAAGATGAGGTTGAAGGGGGGGGGGTTAAAAATTTGGACAACTGTAAACAACCCCCTTCCCTCTAATCCTTTATCCAATATTGGGGATGCAAATTTTGCCAAATGAAACAGATGAAATTACTTGATAGGAGACAAGCAGAACAAAAATGTAGAATTGGTAAAGGCTTCCGCGGCCAATTGGCGAACGATGCTGTCTTGATTCGGGCCTAGAGGTCGTCTTCGGTTGGAGTTACTTCCTAACGTTTCGCTAGCATCAGAGATGGAAGGACCTCTAAAAATGCTCGCCATTGGTGGTAGCGAAACTGTAGGAAGTAATTTCAACCGATGACGGCCATTAAATCCGAACTAGGACAGCACCAGTTGAGCCCATGTGTTGCATTTTGATAATGGGAGAAGAGGGTAAGGAAGAGGTAGGGTTGTAATTTACAATTTTTCGCGAATATTGCTACTCTTTTCGTATTTTGAGAAACGAATTCGTTCATCAATTTGGTACATCAACAAAATTCATTGTATCACAATGGACAATGTCTACAAAATTCGTATACAAATTTAAATACAATTTTTTACGAATTCTGCTGCTTATTTCGTATTTCTAGAAATGAATTCGTCTATTACTTTTTTAGTAAATGATAAATAAATATGCAACATCGCAAAATAATTCATTGTTGTTTGATCCAACGTTGATCGAATGCAACTTTTAAGACGTCTTAGTGTTGAAAATCGTAATAAGAAGGCGAACGAATTTAGAAGTATTGGGTTAAAAACTACTGAATGGCCTGATTGTTTTTTCGCATAAATTCGACATTATCTTCTGTTATAATTATCTGTTTATGTCGACTTTTATTTTATTCGATTGCTACACATGATTGTTATATTGAAATTAAATGAGTGAGTGGTATATAAATTTACTTGTTACTGTTAATACAGAGTGTAACAGAAATAAGTGCCGAGCTTGCGGGAGGTGATAGAATGCAATAAAATATGAAAATTAAGTAAATGCTTTTATGTCAGAATGCTCACCGTTTTCGAGAAAAACGTAGTTGAAGGTACAGGTAAATCAAATTCCGGCCCTGGTTCATAAATATGTCACGCAACGCTGCACTCAATCACCACCAACATCATTGTTTTGTTTTTCTTGCTCATGTATTGTTTATTTGTTAGATTAGATTAAGTGTAATTCAAGGTGTTTATGTTAATAGCAAACTCTAGTAGCCGTTCATTCTTTTAACGTTTAAACCTTGTTTAGTTCAAGAAACCAATTCAGCAATACAACATCAATTATTAATGTAGGTCATTTGTGGAATGAAACGTATTTACGGGTTTGAACCATTAGTGATATAAACGAAATCCGTGGTTTCAATTTCAAACAAGATAATCTACCAAAATATAACACGCGAAGTAGCAGAGAACGATGGCTCGGTAAAGGTCTAGATCAGTGTTTCCCAACCTTTTTTCCCTCGCGAACCAAAAGAAAGGTCCGAGAAAATTTGTCGAACCCCCTATGTAGTCGTTAATGACAGGTAAAAAAAAGCAATAAAATTATTTTTCATATTGCAGAATAATTGATTATATTAATCGTGAAACATTTAAAGGGAAAACTACTGCAATGATTTTAAATATAATGCAGAACATGATACGAATCACATTGATAAAATGTTTTAAATATAAATAAATGTTTGGTATAANTTATAGATTTCTTAACAAACAGGCAGCGAACAATCTGTTTTAGAGTGGGTGTGTTCTTTATTTTTTGTGTTTTTGCTTTGCTTTTGATTTTAATGGCGTTTTAAAAAATTCGCCATTACAATATTATTTTGGCGAACCCCCTCTGCAAACACTACAAACCCTCAGTGGTTCGCGAACCACCGGTTGGGAATCACTGGTCTAGATGATGGAGGTCTCCTCCACCACTGTACCATAAAAAGTTCGTGGCGGTCGTAAAAAGTTATGGGAGTTCAAAGTTAATAAATATGCCAATTTTTATACATTTCTAGGCATGTAAATATTTATATAGTCATTCTTAAACAATATTTAAAGGTAAAACTAATGAAAAATACATAAAAATATTGAGAAAGTTATATAAAACATTATTTAAATATCTNGCGAAACTGTAGGAAGTAATTTCAACCGATGACGGCCATTAAATCCGAACCAGGACAGCACCAGTTGAGCCCATGTGTTGCATTTTGATAATGGGAGAAGAGGTAGGGTTGTAATTTACAATTTTTCGCGAATATTGCTACTCTTTTCGTATTTTGAGAAACGAATTCGTTCATCAATTTGGTACATCAACAAAATTCATTGTATCACAATGGACAATGTCTACAAAATTCGTATACAAATTTAAATACAATTTTTTACGAATTCTGCTGCTTATTTCGTATTTCTAGAAATGAATTCGTCTATTACTTTTTTAGTAAATGATAAATAAATATGCAACATCGCAAAATAATTCATTGTTGTTTGATCCAACGTTGATCGAATGCAACTTTTAAGACGTCTTAGTGTTGAAAATCGTAATAAGAAGGCGAACGAATTTAGAAGTATTGGGTTAAAAACTACTGAATGGCCTGATTGTTTTTTCGCATAAATTCGACATTATCTTCTGTTATAATTATCTGTTTATGTCGACTTTTATTTTATTCGATTGCTACACATGATTGTTATATTGAAATTAAATGAGTGAGTGGTATATAAATTTACTTGTTACTGTTAATACAGAGTGTAACAGAAATAAGTGCCGAGCTTGCGGGAGGTGATAGAATGCAATAAAATATGAAAATTAAGTAAATGCTTTTATGTCAGAATGCTCACCGTTTTCGAGAAAAACGTAGTTGAAGGTACAGGTAAATCAAATTCCGGCCCTGGTTCATAAATATGTCACGCAACGCTGCACTCAATCACCACCAACATCATTGTTTTGTTTTTCTTGCTCATGTATTGTTTATTTGTTAGATTAGATTAAGTGTAATTCAAGGTGTTTATGTTAATAGCAAACTCTAGTAGCCGTTCATTCTTTTAACGTTTAAACCTTGTTTAGTTCAAGAAACCAATTCAGCAATACAACATCAATTATTAATGTAGGTCATTTGTGGAATGAAACGTATTTACGGGTTTGAACCATTAGTGATATAAACGAAATCCGTGGTTTCAATTTCAAACAAGATAATCTACCAAAATATAACACGCGAAGTAGCAGAGAACGATGGCTCGGTAAAGGTCTAGATCAGTGTTTCCCAACCTTTTTTCCCTCGCGAACCAAAAGAAAGGTCCGAGAAAATTTGTCGAACCCCCTATGTAGTCGTTAATGACAGGTAAAAAAAAGCAATAAAATTATTTTTCATATTGCAGAATAATTGA